ATTTTTATCAACATAGTCCTTAAGAACTAACCCATATTTACTGTGCAAGTACTGTTTTTTCAAGTCTACCAAGACTTGAAAACAAGGGGGTTTCTTTTCCCCAACCTTTTTTTCCTCCTCCTCCTCTGTCTTTTTGAATGCTTACTGTTCTGACATTCATCTTTACATGTCTATAATGTTATGTCTTGGGAAAGAAGGGCCAAAAGAATTAACATAATTAACATTCAAACTTCTTGTTTATTCAATTTTTATTATATGTGGAGCTCTCTATGCTGTCTCTTTCAAATAGCAATACAGAAAACCCCTTCTCCAAATTCTCATCTCGTAATTACAAAATCCTAACCTAGCTTTTCCTCTCAAAGCAGAGGAACTGACTGCGCACCTGAGTGACCATGAACTTAGTTATTCGTTCTGGAAGTCGACTTTTCTCACTGGAGAGAATCATCTCTAGCATATCCCCATGCAGCTTTTCCATCACAACAAAGACACGTTCCGGGGTTTCAAACATACATTCCAGGTTCACAATCCCAGGGTGGTGCAAATTCTAAAACAAAGTAGTATAGGCACATCACTAAAATAAAACAGTATGAAATATCCTGAATTACACAGAAATGCTGACCACAAATAAAAAAATCAGTTAAATAGGTAGAGGTGAAAAAAAAAATCTGAGGAAACTAGCTTGAAACCAACGTCCAAACATGAAACATGTCAACTACTAAGGATAACTTGTTTAACACAAATTAGCTGCAACAATTAATTTTAACATTGATGCATGTTCTGCACTCAAGTTACAGAGTATAAGAACAATACTCAAAGATTGAGAAGCCAGTAGTGGAAAACAGCAGAAAATAAAACTGAGGGAGAAAACACGAAGCCAAAGTACATGCCTTTAGTGAGATTCCCTACAGTGGGGCAGATATCATCCCCAAGTTATCAACTCTACCAAGTACTCAGGAGTTCCTGCTTTTATAGGATTCCCTCTTCCGAAAGTACTCACAGATATAAATTTAAAAATCAATTCAGAACACTTACACACCATACAAAATCTCATTAATGTTCTAGTTAAGACAAAAGTCCAACATGATCCCAAAACACTTTCATACCTGGAGTATGGCTACTTCATTACGAAGCTGACTTTCCTGTTTAGTTGGAAATCTCATCTTGTCAATGACTTTGATAGCCACATCTCTTCCAGTCTTCCTATGTTTTCCTAAACAGAAAGTCAGTGTCAGCCATCAAGAGGCAGAAGCAATTCACAGCTGTAAAACCTTACAGCAGAAATTCCTTTTTGGGGAAACCAGTATATTCTCTCAAGTGTACAATATTACCATATTTATATTTAGCACTGCAAATGGTGCAAGAGTAATAGAAGTGATCAGCCTCCACAGGAATTTTGTAGTTCAAACTTAAACCAGTTACCACTCTGCTGTGTCAGGTACACCCAGACTGACATTGGATATATTTTGCTTGTGCAAGGGATTTGCACAGGAGCAAGTAATAACTACTCCACAGAATATTGCCTCTCCTGTAAAAGCAACAACAACAATTCAAGGCCAAAGCAAAGACACATCTACAAACCCACTCCAGTGGTTTCATACTTTCATGGGCTCTACATGCACAGGAAATCACACACCTAATACTCTACAGGAACATGAGGTTAACTAGGTGCCCCAAAGAACAGCAACGCATTTAATACCTGGGGCAGTCCGCTGTGATCAAAAAGCTCTTAAAGGCTGTGGTAAGAAAAGGTGGTAATAAAAACACCATGCTGACAGCACCATGTATTATTCCTTGCTGCAAACTGCATCAGCTAAATGAGAAGCTAAGTGAAGAGCTTTTAATGCTTCCCCAGCTTCTTCACAGCTACTGAACTGGTTTCCTTCAGACACATGAGAGAGGTTAATGGGATCACACACTGCAAGACCTTGGATATCTGAGACATTTAACACTAAACTATGACAGAACAGTAAGCCTGCACCAAAGAAAAGTGTCACTATCCACTCAGTGAAGGGTTTGGAAGCCATTTTAGGAGAAGGGATGATACACAGCTGCAGTGCAAGTGGCACAGAAGGTTCTACCAGCACTGCTGTGGGGAGCCCAGCCACACCTCAGCAGCCACCAGCCAGCCTCCCCTGATGCTCCCTGGTCAGCACTGGTGGCCATGGCTTAGGCAGGGCACAGGAACTGCTCCACAGGCTGCTCTGCCAAGCAACTACTGCACCTGCCTTTAATATCATCATGAATAAAGAGCCTATCTCCACCAGATGAAGGAAATTACATTGAAATGTAGCACAAATACAATCAATTCCAAACTAGATGCAAAACACAAGGTAAATGCTAGATCACTAAGGAATGTAAAGCAAACCAATCCATCTAACAAAACACCTAACTACACAAGCTAGACTGCAGCTAGAAATTGCCCATGAAGCATAACAGAAAAGCAGCTTGAAAGTTCCTTTTGTTAAACAAAACACAACTAGCCAGTTTTCAGTGCAAGTTTTACATCAGTAAGAAAATGTCAAGAGTAGTTTTTTCCTATCTCCCTTTTTCAGATCTTTCCAACTAATCAAAATAGGAAAAGCAGAGGGAAACGGTTCTCACTGATGCAGGAGTTGGGTATTTCTATCCTATAACTTTTGATTTACAATTTTGGAAATATTTGTCAAGAATATAAGACACAAAAAATACAACAGAAAAGAAAAACCCAATCCAAACCCCACAACAGTGAAAGCAAATTAATTTTTCCATTGTTATCAGTATTTCAGTATGACTACACAGATGCAGATAAGACAATATCAGAAGTTACCAGATCTAGCCTCCCCAAATATCAGCAACAATTAAGCAGTGTATAGAGCCAGCAAAACCATAGTCTTTTATATATAGAAGATTTTCATATTTATTATACTTACAAGAACTTGTAAGCATTGAATCATGAAAAATACCAAGCTGAGATTTATTTACAAGGCAATTTAGGAAAAATACAATCCAATCATTAAAGTAAGTGTCTGCTTTTGTTAATTTCTATTCATAAGAGAGGGAGGACATTTTGATTCATACTACACTATAAGAAATACAAAGGGGGCAAAAAACGTGACCTCTTTCAAGAGTGATGTAAAACCAGACCAAACTGTATTTCCACCAAGCAGTTTAGAAGGAATAAGTTATCTAACTACACAATTGGCACACAGAAAAATCATAGCCACAATACTTCCTGATTAGAAAGAAAATGTGACAGAAGCAGAAAGATTACCACCTGTAAATCATTACTTATGACTTGTTCTCTCTTTCCAGATTTATGGTCTGTGGTTTTCTCAACACTTGAGATATAAAATGAGATTAAAAAAAAGAAGAGAGAGATAGAAACAGAGTTCATATGCATGGCTACTATTTCTTCTTTGTGATTACATACTAAAAACAAGTCATATGCTGCAACAGAAGATTTTAAAAACTAGGTGACAATACTAGACTTGAAACCTTGGCCTAACACTCGTGGCAAAGAATACCTCTTTCTGCTTTACCCTGCTGACAGAAATTTGTTCACATCAAGTATGTCAATAACATGTTTGCATCCATACTGTCAAACCATAAACACACTATGTGTTTTTCTAATTGCTTTTAGCCACATCTCTCAGGTGTCATTCAAAACTGTATAACTGACAGCAAATATATGACTTCTAATATTGTAAAACACAAACAACAGTGTTAATTTGCAATTAAAAAAAAAATCATTAAACGTGAGTAAATTGGATTGCTTTGTATTTAACTGTGGTCAAAATATTCTAAACTGATTAGGATGCCAATACAAAACATAAATGCAAAAATTTAACTCTACATAACACTGCAGAGACATGCAACAAAGTAATCCAAACACGACTTTTAACAAGATTAACTTTACCTAGACATTCTAGATACAGCTAAGTATGAAAAGGATAATTCTATCAAGCAGACATTCTACCTTAATAAATGCATAATGGAACATAATGCAATTTACCTCCATATACAATACCAAACTGACCAGAACCCAGCACTTCATCAGCAAATATTTGGTACACAGAGCTGATATCCTAATGCATGAAAAAAAGAAATCACAAATATCAGGAGTCATTAGAATGCTCATGACTGCATCAGTTATTACTGGCTAAGCTGTAATTATATTTGTCATTAATCAAACTCTGTAAAAGGTACCATCATTACACTACACATTACATTACACATTACATTACATTACACATCAGTGGGAAAACACAAACTTTTCCTGAAGAGGATGCACTGAGCTGCACCAAAAGCAGGGATATACATTCAAAAAAAACCATGGCAAGTAAGTCAGTTACTTCCTGCTTATAACCTGGACTTCTTTACCTACAGTGCTTTCTCATCCAGACACTGCTACTACCAAATACTTTGTAATACTCAGATAAATAAATACCACTATAATACAATGCACATGACTCACCACATTCTCCTGGACCTGGCAATTTGAAACAGAGATGCTTAGAGACAACTCTTCTGCAATAAAGAAGATAAAACCAAGTAAGTAAATAAAAAGTAAATAAAAAGGGCAGACTTTTTCTAAAAAGAGTGAAAATGAAAATCAACAAAAGCCCTTTACTGACTTCTAACCCAGTATCAGTGAAATGATTTTTAGTGTTGTTCTACAGAAACTTCATACTCTGGAACTCATCAGATAAATAACCCTGGATTATTTGTCTTTTTTTGTCCTATTCCTGATTACAAAAACAGTAGAACAATACAAGTGTGTACACAACATACAAGTGGAGAAGCAAAAGCAATAGCAATTGTATCATAGTTCATTAAACGACTAACGATTTCTGGTAGCAATAAAGAAAAATACAGGCAAGAGAAGCAGGTAATTCCCTCATAGTCAAATGAATGAGGCTTCTTATCTTCTGTGGCACCAAGATACAGAATTAATTCATAAGAAAAGGAAACAAATCAAAGAAGCCAAGTAACAAAATAACCGATAATTTAAAAAGAAATAAAGCCCGTAATATAAAAAAAAAAAAGTCTTTGTTTCATGGATAAACTACAGAAGTACATCAATCCTTGGAATATAAGGGCACATTCCTGAAGTATAATTTCCAAGTAAACGTATCAAATAAAGAATTCTTCAGTGCAGCAGACATTGACATGAATTTTTCATTACAGGAATAACACTAATGCACAGGCAAGAAGAGATATACCAAGGAAGGTATATACCTTATATATATATATAATGGAAATACCCTTCTCTTTTGACTTCCAAGGGCAAAGTAAAGCATTTCAGACTAAAAGACATCTATCACTTGGAGTCTGTCTCTCTGAAGGTATTCCAGACCCAACTGGATGTGTTCCTGTGTAACCTGGACTCTGCCTTGTCATTGGGGCTGGACTTGATGATCTCCAGAGGTCCCTTCCAACCCTAACAATTCTGTGATATTATGTTAACTTAAAGGAGAAAACAATCAATTAATTCATCTACAAGTATATAGAAAACACACTACAGACTAACTAGCACTTTGAAAAGAGCCTTTATCATCCTGAAGAGAATTTAGAGAAAAAAAGATGTCTGACTTTTGCCACCTGTACTTTATCTCAAAGAAGAAATTTACAGAGAGAAGATGGGAACAAATACTAATTCTCAAAGACACCCTGAATTCTGCATCTGAAATATGAACTCTGAGTCTTGCATATGCCTACTGATTACTGACTATAGTCAAGTCAGTACTGAAGTAACCATACAGAACACTAGGGAAAACAATAAAGAGATCAGACAAAAAAATTCCTAACGTCAAAAAATCTGCTGCAAAGTAACTAGAAAATAAAGATACAGTTTTTGAAAGTGTTTAATAGAACATGCTGAACCCTTGTCCACAGATGGCTACAGAATACAAAATAACTCAGAGGTAAATTATGAATTATTCCTTCCAAATCATCTTCCTAGTGTCTGAAATGTGCAAGAGTAAGGGTTAAGACGTAGTCACTCGTAAAGAAATTAGTAATTCCACAATTCAGTATGCAATCTACAGCAGGTAAACAGCTTACTTTCTCTCTTGTTTTAGCTCAGAATCACCCCACAAAGAAACACCCCAGCCCAAACACCAGGTATGTGGTTACAAAGGATTCTTTGCCATGGGTCAGACTGGAAGAACATCCTCATTTCTAACTACCTCTGGCCACAATGTGGTATATAATAACTAGATAGTGCCTTGTGGACATTGTGACACTACAAATTCCCTGCTGCTGCAAGTATTTCAGGCACTAGCAATGTCTCCCTCCTCCTTTTAAAAGACCATCTGGCATTTTAATTTCAAAGCATGTATTTGAGACTCTTTTTTTAACTAAAATCTAATTACCTTAAAGGCTCTTGAGACACATTTCATGATTCACAAAGTGTAGGAAGAAGACGGAAGAACAGAAATTTTGTGGCCTTCTTAGAGTTTAAAAAACCAACCTGAGTCATCTAAAAATATGTCAATGCCACTCCCCGACTCAGTAGTTTCTTATACTCCTACAATCTTAAACATACTAAAATATCTCTTCTCAGCAAATATCACTGTAGCTCTATTCCCTACCAATGTCAATGAAATGTTATTGCTGTTATTATTATCTGAAAAACTATTTGTTTTGGAAAAATCAAGTGTCTTTGCAAATCTGACAGCAACAGTAAGCCTTAGGTGCTAGAAAACAAAAAGAGTTTTGGTGTATATAGAGATACACATATATTTGAAACTAAAAATTCCATATCAAAAGTGGAATTTTATGTTTGTATAAAGCCAGGTACAAGGTACCATTTCACATGTATGTTTCTTCACTGTAATTAAGTACTAGTGCCAGTACTGGCATTTCATAGTTTAGTATTTTAGACCACTGCTGCATTCACAGAAAGTGCCTTTACCTCAGACTAGCATTTACATGTTCTTAACTGCTGCTGATGCAGAGTAGCCAGATATCAGAGACAGAGAAACTGATCTCAGAATCTCCTGCAAAAGAAAACTTTACTGCAAGGAGATTAAAAAGTAGCTGGAATTCAAAAGGAAACTAAAATGGGAAACCATAAATCTCAGTACAGAATGAGAATCAATGGTGTTGCAAGGAATAAGGAGATGTCTTAAAAGAAAGAAAACAATATATAAGTTTAGTGGAGCCTTGATAATGAATATAATCCTATACCAGAGGAAAAAGGGAAGGAAGATGCATAAAAAGAAATCAGGGTACTTTTTATAACTACTCACAGCTCAGAAAAAGTTTTTTACATCACTGATGGTATTTACATTGCAATACTAACTCCTTTTCTTCTTAGCTACTGACATCTCACAGTATTTTAAAAATACACATATATGTAGGTGCTTACATCAAAAAACATCCAAATTTAGTTCTTTCAAAGTGTATGCATATAATCTGAATATATTTATTTAGTTATTTATATTAAAAGTATCTAATCTGTGCTCCCTTTTTACATCTGTGTGTGTGTTCTTAGTGGTCCCACAATAAAACTCTGCATCCTCAATCCATAGTGTAAATCTGATTTTTTACTGCTTTCTGCTACTACATATTAAAGGATTTGCCCACCCTCCACAAACCTGAGGGTCACTTTTTAGAGACTCATGGAAAGTGATGGACCGAATTCAGCAGATAATCAACAGACAGTACTTCACTCTAAATAAGCACTTTTCCCAAAGGAATCACTAGCATCAGCAGCTTCAGTGTACGAACAACAGTGCCTTGTCTGCCTGCTTACTGTGATCTTTTCCTTGTCCTGCAGCAGTGCAAACGCTAGGTTGAGGAGTGACTGGCATCAAGGCCTGGCGAATGGCTTTCTCCCAGCCCTGAGCTACTTCAAGTCCAACTCCGGAGGCAGCAAGAACTGGACTGTGATGAGTGCTGCCATTGTTCTCGCCAACAAAGTACACCATCGTGTCAGTGATGATCTCAAAACAGTAGGGGTTGCTGCCCTGCACCACGTGTGAAAAATCTCGAGGCTGAGTCACCTGGAGAATTTCTGAAAGTGGAATCTCCTGAAGAAAGATATTAAAAATTTAAAAATGAAAATGCACATAATATTTTAATATACTAACACTCATAACTTCAAGCGTTGTAAAGAAACCAAAACAACGATATCTAAAAACCAAAACTGAAAAACCAAGCTTCATAAATAAATTCAAACTGCGCATGACCATTGCCCACCCAGCTTTCTGAATTCCTATATACAAGCCTAGACAGACTTTCAGACCCACCACAGGTCTCTATACAACTACTATTTTCTACTCAAACTACATTTATATTCATCATGAAACACACTCCCATTGCACGGGTAAGTTATGCACAACTAGAGAATGACCACTTTCCCCTTGCAGTTTATACAGCTTAGGCATGATGAGGGGAAAAGTGAGACATTAAGAAGGTGGTTCTCTTTCATACAGATATTAGCAGATATTATCTGCATACAGGTATTATCCTCTACCTGGTCAGTTTAAGATCATGGAACAAGAGTATTACAGAACAGATCTGAAGGAAGAAATGGTTTCAAGTTCACACTAGCTGGAGGAGGACATTCCACATCCACGGAAGGTACAGGTGCATGTCACTTGCAAAAGGAGTGAACAAGCAGGTGAACACTAGGCAGGCATTAGGAGGATAAGAGACAGCAGCTGGTTGAGAGGAAGAGCAAATGAATGTAAAGGCAAAAACTGTGAATTACTCTAACAGCAAAGACAAACAATCAGATCTTAGCAGTTAAACAAGGGATGCAAAGGGGCAAGTGAAAGGACTAAAAGCAGTCACATAACAGAGCAACAAGCAAGGAACATATTTTACCAGCTGTGTTTTGAATGCACAGGGCAATACAAGTATCAGAGAGGTCTGAGAAGAGACTGCATTGGTCAAGATAAGGATGAAAAGGATCTGGGCAAGTTTAGCTGGGTGTACAGAGAAAAGGCTTGATCTTAGAGGTGTTATAAAGGAAGAAGCTGCAAGATTTGGACCCCCACCTAGAGGTATAAGACAAGAAAGGGAAAAGTCCTGTTTATACATTCAAATGCATTTTCTGAATATTCCACCACCAAACACAATCCTAATTTGACAATACACTAAGCTTCATTTATATAAACATAATGCTATACAGTAAATTTTCCTGTAAATCCTGCTTGAAACTTTCAGTTGTACAGTAGGGAGTAATTGAATTTGAGGAATGTTGAAATAAAACATATAAGCATGCAAAATTTCAGTCACTACTCAGAGAACACAAAAATCCAAGCCTTCATTCAACTGCTGGCCAAAGAAATTCTCTGGCAACTGTGAGGAAAACTTAATACGCCAGGTAATTCAGGAGAACAGTACATGCAAAAATGTAAGGAGAGACATACTCAAGGGAATTAGAGCAGGAGCTGCAAGCAACTTCTCAGAGTTAGTCTTGGTCCTTCTCACTTACAGGCTTTGGGCAACAATTAACCTGGTCACAGTTTTGATTCAAAAAGAGATGGGAAAATGGAGATAATACGTAAACTGCTTACAAGTAGATTTCATATCTATAAATCACTGAATAAATCAAGTGAAACATAATTATTACTCATCATTAATTACCTTGTAATATTTTGTTCCAGATTCATTTTGAAATAGTGTGAGGCATTTGCTGTCCAGTCTCCAGTAATGTCTTTTTCTCTACAAAATGCACAGTACAATTACATAAGAAATAAACCTCTCATACGGCTTTTGCTATCTCATTATTTAAATTTTTTTAATGCTTTAAATTACTGTAATAATTATTCAAAATTAATCTACAGTTTAATCTTAGACTACAGAAATGAAAAAAATAAACTTTGGGAATAAAACTTTGTTTAAATTGAAGAAGCAGCTCAAAAATTATTTCCACAATCTAGCAAAAACATCACTTACCTTACAACAAAAGCAATGGCAACAGGAGTTACCTCATATAAGAAAAAACAATTACTAGACAGGTTTTACTCCATATTCTCATAAAATCTGAATCATTTAAATTTAGTGACAACTGTGGGAGTCATGCTTTCTCCCTCTATGCCCTAATAAGAACATTGCAAGAGTTCAAGCACTGAGCAAGCCTAACAAGTTCTTAATTATTTTGTCAATACAGTGACAAAACAGATACACTATGAGATTCAAATGAAAAAATACTTCGTGGGGGGAAAAAAAACACCAAAACAGACTAAATAGCCATTTGCTGGAAGTATCCCTCAACAAGAAATCTCCCCCACCAAAAAGTAACATAGATTAACTGCTTGTTAATATATAACTTGTATTTAAGCAGAATATAACTTGTATATTAAGCAGAACTTGTAATATAACTTGTATTTAAGCAGAAGAATATATATAACTTGTAATTTAAGCATAAGAATACTCCTCAAAACAAAGAAGCTTTTAGAAAGCTAATATGGCTGTATGAATCTAAGATACTTTGCTTGCACCATGCTTATATAGTGAAAAAAACACTTCCATTTATCTAGGATAAAAATCCAAGACCCTTAACTCTAACTAAGGATGACAAAGTTTGAAATGCTATTCTATTATATTTACATTCTATAAAGTTTGTCATATTAAAAGCAAAGTCTTTTGTTTGTTTTTTTTTTTGCCATATTTAAGCAGAGCTTAAATCACTTCAGTCAGGGAGAAGTCTACCTGTGGGAATTAGACAAAGAAAACTTTATCAAAAATGGATTTAACTACAACAAATTCCCAGATAGCACCAGGACAGTGGGTGAAACCAAAAGGGTAAACCCCTCCTTGCAACATATATGCTCTTTATTAAATCATAAATCTGTCTTTATTAAATCATAAATCTGGAAAGACTTTGGAGGAGAGGAATTAAAGAAAAGGCTGGTAACTTACTCAGGGATTAAAAATCTGCCCCAGACCCTACTTTGAGAAAGGATGGGACCAGGGTCAGAAACAGAGTAAAGATGATGACACAGAAACTTCTCATTTTAAAGAGTGAAACAAGTTGTTATCCAGAGAGCACAAGAAGCACGTAGATCCTGCTGTTAAAATGAACCTGTCTGGAACTGATAGGAAGCCCAGTTGTTTCAGGAATAGGAAACATGGACATTGATGAGAATGGAACCGTCAAGGGAAATAGCCGATGTTGTAATGGCCAATACGGAAGTCTCCTCCCATTAGGAAGCTCTGTGAGATCTTGTTTGGCTGGAGGCACCCTGCTTTGGGTCAGGATACTCCATGTGACTGGCTTTTTTCAGTTGATGTCATCGAGGTAGCAGCCAGACTGACAGATGAAGAAAATCAAACTAAGCTAAGGTGTTTCATCAGATCACTGTTCTAAGGGGAGGTTAAAAAACAAAGTCCATGGAAAAACATACTGGTTGTACTGAAAGTTTAAATCAGAGCTGAATACCAGGTCTGGCCTGAATAGTTCTGCTAGAGCTATTCACTTTTGTCTGCTATCTGGCCTTATTTTTTTCAGAGCCAGCTGATGATAATTATTACTTCTATGCAGTCTTGGCTGTAACCACGTCTAAAATACAATAGATACTTATTTTGAATTGTGATAAATACATCTAGGTATTAAAAAACTGTACCTTAAAGAAATAGTTTTTAAGGTAATTTCACAAAGACCGTTTATAGAAGTCGATTTAGCTGACAATCACAAAAAGTGAAAACATTACGGTAACCTGAGCTGCCTATTATCACCCCTCAACTTGATTTCATCAGAACTTAATTAACTTTGCTTCTCTAAATTCTCTAAGTCTCCATCAACTTAATAAGTCTCCTTCAATCAGATGCCACGGAGATAAAGAATGCAAAAGTATTCGTGCTGCCTTTCATGGACAGTCTCAATATGCCATATGGTTCTCAGTGAGATCTGGGAACTTCTTAAATTCGTCCTTTTCATTCATCTACCAAAGAACAAAAGGATTCACTTCTTCCCATCAGACAATACGAAGGAACCCTATTATTTTGCCTTGTCTTCCTCCTCAATACAAAAAACCAAGCAGTTTGCCTATTCAGTTAAGAGCTCATTACTGGTAGCACTGGCACCAAACAACAGAGTCTTTTAGGAGGGTGGTTGCATACCCAAGGACACACAGTCAAGCCACAACTCTTAGAGTCAATTGCTAGAGGAATTAAGGGCTCCCATACCTACACATAACTATTTACAAACACCTAGATCATTAGGATAATACTCTCAACCATTTCAGTACACATAATATTCTTATGACTTCCACCTTTTCACATAGTAGAATAGAAAAAAAGACATAAGTATTTAGTTCAACTACTAAAGAGAACAAAGACACAAGCAAATTATTCCAAGTTACCTTCTCAGGAAAGCCGAAGTACTACACATACAATTCATTTGAGACAATGTAGAGATGCTTTTCCTTCTTAAAGGGGAAAAGGAAAAGTACTATTCAATCACCACATGAAGAATTTAGAATAAATTACAATTTCTCCCTTGAACCAGATTTCTTTATAATGAACATCACAATTAAGTTCTTTCAAATGATACTCTAAATCAGAAATAAAATATACTAGTTTAGTGAAATAACTTGAGAAATTACTTAATTTAGGAAGAAACTAAAGTAACTGACCAGGTTGTCTCTACTAGTATAGTGGACCATCCATCCTTCTTTCACCATTGTACTGCTCTTCCTCTTTGTGTGTTTGATTGACTGTACAACTCGCATGAGAGGAATATTATTGCTTGTTGAAGGACTAAAAAGAAGATACAACAGTTTAATACATAACAAGTTAAAATACAACAGTACTGAAGTTATACTCATTTTACACATTTAGTCTATAATGTTCAGGATCAGACACCTTTTCTTCCCATACAAATTTAGTTTGAAGGACGAATTTGATAAGGCATCTTGAGCTCCTACTAGCTCTCCTAGGACAAGTATTGTAGTACTTAAGGAATAGAGAAGAAACACACTGGAGAGAGGACACCTACAGACATAATTTTCCCTCAAAATCTGCTGGTCTTTTATGCTATCTTACACCACAGAAATAGAATTAACATCAGCATAACTATCATTTCTTCTTGTCTATGTAAGTTAATTGTGCTGCTTCATAATATTGTTGTTAATGAAGGTCCCTGTCAAAGCAAACTTTCAACTTACAAAAACATAAACCAGGGTCAAATCACAACTGCATTAGAAAATTCTGTCCATACTAAGGTATATTAACAGACAAGGGTTTGATAATCTCTAATATTCTGAGACAGCCATTAACTAAACATACAGATTTTAACAGCACTGAGAAGCCAACCCCCAAGGTGCCTAGCTAACATCAGAGCTCTACGTGTGGTACTAACAGACACATCTGTAAATACTCCTTGTGAGGTAGTTTCAAAACAAAAAATGTAAGGATGCTCTAACACAGCATACTGTTACACTACAGAATTGGCTACAGGATGTTGTCATGCCAAAAATCTGAATTGCTTCAAATCCGACTAGAAATAAATGGAAAAATCCTACTTAGAGGTAGATGTTGCTTCCCACTCAGGAGATCCTTGGGCTATAAATAATTAAAAAATAAAAAAGTTGAGAGGTATCATTATATGCTATCCCTCACAAATTTACTACTCAGCCCTGAGCCACAGTGATGTTTAGTTAGACCAGATACAACTGGGCTCATCTTATTAAGAATGACTACGAAAATCAGGATGACACTACTCAGAACAATAGAGAAATAAAAAGATCAAATTTGATTTAATGAACTATGTTAACAGTTACAGGATAAAAGACTTCAGGAAAGTCAAGATACATAAAGCAAAATACTGTGTAACATGCACAGACTATGATGCCAATATTAAAATATCCCAACTGATGCCTTTTAAATCCACACATATAAAACAGTAGCTAAATTAGGCTCAAGTCACAGAGACCTTAACCACACATTAGCCTTGTAAAGCTGTGAATTTTATCCTGGTTTGATAATCTGGTGTATTTCTTCAATAACCATCATAGCATAACACTTTTTCCAATTTCCAGAAGAGACTAGACTCTTTTAGTCTGTTCCAGATTTTCTCGAGACGGGAGAATTTTACAAAGCATTTTCAAGCTAAAAGAAAAAAGAAACCCCACACAAAGGGAAAATACACTTTCAGCAATAAAACTGGGCAGCTTGGAAACATTTTGCTCACAATATTGAGCAATGCTCATCCTGAGCAAAGAAATCCATGCTATAACTTACCTGATTGTTTTGACAGCTTCCTCATCTTTGTCTGCATCAAGGTCAGATGGATCCATAAAAAAGATTTTGTCCTCTGGAGGAGAGGGCTCTTCAGCATCATCTAGAACTCGACTACCATCACTGTTCATTTCACTGCTATCAACTTCCATTGGCATATCCAAGTCCTGGCCTGGGCTAGCAGGTTCTGGAAACAACACAAGTCAGACATTATTTCAAACACACAACTTAAAGAAAAATAAAATAAAATCCTCCAAAACCCACCTTTTTTTTCAGTTCAAACTTATAAAAATAAACATAAAACTACAATTACAATATACAAAATCTTCACATTTTTGCTGTAAAACAGAATATGGTAATGAACATTATCAATTTCATTTTGCTAGATGAACCATACTGAAAGAAACAGAGTGAAAAGCTTAAAGTCTAAACCTAAATCTCATTAAGTAATTCTGTTCCACAAGTAATCAGGACAAAGTAACCTTTCCATGTCTAGAGATGACCCAGAGAATTATTCATGTGAAAATTAAATTCTCCATTAATAGAAAACTAACTCTGCTCTCCCTGCTCTTGTAGGCCATAGTAAGAAGAGTAAGAAAGAAAAGAGGGGCTGTGGAATTGCAGGAAAAGAGAAAAGCAGAACAGATCTTATTTATCTCTGATTTTCTGCAGGCAGAAATTTAGTGTTTTCAAAAGCAGTACAACTGGTACTGTGAAAAACTAAGAATGAAGACATAAAAATATCTTCATCTGTAGCCTTTTTATGGTTGTGTTTTTGTTTGTGGGGGGTTGTTTGTATGTTTGTTTTTTACCTGGGTTGAGTTCAATTAAGAGTAGGAGAAAGAACAAAAATAAATTGCTCCTTACATCTTCAGAAAAATTACGTCAAACTGTGTGGCCTTTAGCACCTTAGCATCACAAGGGCAGTAAAACCAGATTGCAGCAACATCATGTTGCACACTGCTGTTCACAGCCACCAAACTCAAGTCTAGGAAAGAGCCTGGGAGCTGGAGAAGGTTGGCATGAATGGTATTATGCAATGGCAACAGACCCACTAGCTAACACAGCTGTTGCCCAAGAATTAAGTTGTACAGTTTAATGAGATCTGCTTCATGTCACCAATTTTGTTTCACTAAAAAATGTGTGACAAGGCAACACAGACACAGAGTGGCTGAAGTTGGAGGAGATTTTTGAAGGTCACCTGGTCCAATAAACCCCTGAGTTCATTTCTCCAGTCTTTTGAAGTCCCTCTGATAGCAGCACAAACCCTCTGTCGTATCAGCCAGTCCTCCCAGTCACCTGCAATCCTGCTGAGGGTACACTTTGCCCCACAAGATCATTAATGAAGATGTTGAACAGGACTGGACCTTTGCTGGTCCCTGGGGTACCCACAAGTTACTTGCCATTGATAACCATTCTCTATGCTCACCCATTCAATCAGTTTTTAATCCCTATCTGCTCATTTATCTCCTATTTCATCAGCTTAGCACTGGTCTAAAACTTATAAAAATACTCTAAAAATATTCTTCCACATAGTGTTCCATACTCTTTCAGTTCTGCAAGGTCTATTCAGAAAGCAGCCCCACTTCATTGAGGTTTCCAGAAATTAAAGTGGAGTTCTTCATTTTGGTTTGCCTTGGAGTTTCCCTCCTTTCTCTTTTATCTCTATCACCTTAGCTAACTCTGGCCAGTAAAAATCGTGGATATGGCAAAGTCGTAAAAAATGGTACATGTCTTCAGATACAAACTTTTTAAAGTATATATTTCATGGTGAACAATAAGCAGACTGATCACAACAGATCTTCAAATTTTGTACACTGGGGTGGCTTCTAGATTTTTCATTTCCACTGAGCAATCCCAAGCAAAGCATAGTGAACTTGTCAGGACTGATTAAGTAAAATTTAAGTCACCAGAGTGCAAGTTTTACAGTGAATCTTTTTCATTTTCACTGACCTCAGTGAAAAAACTTCAAGATAAATAAAAATATGTCATATATTCAGAGATGAGGGAACTAAATACTAATGCATCTTATTCAGCCTCCGAAGATCTCTCACCATTTGAAAGGATGTTTCTCATCTTACCTCCATTGAAAATAACCTCTCCAAGACAGTCTCGAGGTACTTTAGGTGCACAGCGTTTGTGACAGTTGAATCTGCAATCTAAAACAGCAGATAAATAAGCCCACGACACCAGAACCTCACTCCCACCCAGACACTAACATTTATCATTCACTTCTTCCAACACAGACTTCAGAATCATACATTTGCATGTAACTGAAGACAGCACCAATGAGGTCACCTCCAGGAGGAAATTAACAATTTTGTCCTTATGTCACATGTTGATTTGTCCCACCACTATTTATTATGTCAGTACTTCCCCTTCCAGTACAAAATGGTTTGCTACTTCTGTAGCTTTTTCTGCAGCTATTTTTTCCCTCATGATGTAATTTCTCCCATTCTTTCATTTGTTCCACATCCTTTTTTCAATTGCTATATGATTTAACTGTCTCATCTCTAACATTTTTCTCCACCTGCCAACTAAGACTTGCAGACATCAGAGGCCTCTACGATCACACAGACTACATCAGAGCAAATGTGTTCTGCAGTAAATCCCCAAGTCCAGTTCCCCTCTCATTCAGATTACAGATTTGCCTGACTACTCAAGCTCCATTTCCTGCTGACACAGGGCAGACAGAACAACATTATGTCCAGATTTGGCCTGATGTAGGGATGGAATCTCACCTGGATGTGTGCCATTTCAGCACCCGAGGTATCAGATGCAGCCTACTGAACGAAGTCCAGCATACAACATTACTGGTATTAACAGGAATTTCCTTTATTAGTAGCATTCCTGTAATTTCCTCCATCACCACCATGAATTCCAAAACTTCCTACGGCCACCACAACTGTTCTCATATTGATAATTTAGCCTCTTTTTGCTGTCCAAAGCAAGCTCAATGTGTTTTTCTTTTAAGACCAGACAAGAGAAAAACCATTATCTCCCCATTCTTAGTATCAGAAGAGCCAAATTCTGGATCAGAATACAATACTGCTCAGCTTCTGAGCGCCTAAAAGGATGCATCCTAGGAGACCCATGAACAGTCTTTTTTACAGCTGTGGCTTCAGTTCGTATTATGGAATACAATTACTTCACTACTTTAAAGAAGGCTGGAAGAAACAGAGACATTTCAAATCCTGTCAGGAAACTAGAAGGCTGACTCTATCCTAATAAACTACATTAAGAAACATTCCTGGATACTGAAATGCAATTCTCTAGTCTAGTAAATAGCTACAAACATCCCTTAGCATGCTTTTGGCCCACAGCACTAGTATAATCCCAAACAGTTCCAAGGTCTAGCTCATAAACCAGAGCATCCTATGAAATTGCTCCAAACAGGCAGTCTGCATAGAGCCACCCAGGCTGGAATGCTAAGAAAATCTGTTCATGAACACGGGTCATTCTGTCCCTGCTGACCTCAGTGTCCAGGAATGTTTCTAGGCACATTTAATTTATTACCATAAATACAGCCTTAGCATCTCAAGCATCATCCTCAGAGCCTGAACAGCAATCTGAATTAAATCAAGAAATCAAGGGTTCTTATGGGTAATCAGAAACATAAAACTACTAAAAGACCCCATGATCTGTGAATGTGCTCAAGGAAGTCAGTGGGGAACCTTAAGAATCTGTAGAACAAGGAAGTATGAAAATATTTGAACTGCTTGATATCAATTCCTGACATATTAAAAGTTAGTATAGGCTTTTGCTGCATAAATGGAAGCCTATTAAGACACTTATTTCTGTCCTGCACATAGACATAGCATTTCTCTAGGCATGTTTTCCGTGCATAAAAGCTTACAATATGCATACAAATAATATTTTTATCCAGTGTCATTCAGTTCCCTGAAACTGATGTGGTAGCCCCATTTGTTCAGCTGGATACAGTCACAGCGATTGTATATGGCCAGCAACATCTATACATTAAAACCGCAAGGCATCTTTTTCAGGTTTCATTATTTTTGTATCATATGTATCCAAGAGTCACACTGACTGGAAAGAGTATCAAAACCAGTTGAGGCTGCAGACTTCAAATGGACTACAAGGACTGCAAATAACAACAGAAATGAAAGCTAAAACTACTTCCTTGCTTACATGGGACAGCAGTTATTACTAGTCAAAAAAAAAGATAACACAGCTGTAAGCTTACCATTTTTTCTCCCCCATGATAAAGAAAACTGAAAATGTATCAAGGGACCTCTCTTACAAAGCTGACCTTTGATACTCCTGTTTGACTAACTCACATGAGAGAAATGGAAACTCGTTTCCATATTAATGTTTATGGTTCATCACTAGACTTTTGTTTCCTGCAACAAAGCTGACAGATCTGCACTAACTAGTAATAAAAAGCCAGAAGGAGATTACAATAGTTATGCCCCAGGAACCACATGGAAAGGCCTGAGAACTGAAGCCATGTGTTACGCCATAAGCTACATAAAAACCATGCAAGCTCAGCACAGGCACCAAAAGCTAATAATCAGTATCCTGTACCAGAATAATACAACGAAAATTCACAAATTCTTTAGTGGTAAGTCTAGAATACAGATACTGAACAAAAGGAAGTATTTCCCATTTTTATTAATTCATAACTATTCTTCTAGAATGACAATGTTTTCAATATACACAATTAAATCTTATTTTTCAGAAAAATGTACAATGCACAGCTTACCACAAGGAAAATGAGGGCTGCTGTGATCTTCTGAAAATTATTCAATTTTTCAAAAATTACAGTTCCGTATTTTGCAGTATACGGCCACCTCAGTTGCAATCAGTTTTAAGTACAAGACCTTTGCTGAAATTTACTGCTACAGCAGAAAATTAAATGTTTACCTTTACACTGCATTCCTTGGCGAAAAAGGCCCTTAAGCAGCCGTTTGCAATACTGGCAGATGGTGGGCCGAGTGTAAGAGTGAACAGCAAAGGTGTGTGGGACCTTCACTCTGCAAAGCACCATCTTATCCATCCAGATGGGGCGGCCACTCCAAGAGGGAATCCTCTTACTAGGTTCTGGGCAGCAACGCTGGAATAAAGAAGGAATACGTAATTTGCACCAGAACAGTTCTACTGCCATGACTGCTTTGAAAAGTCACAGCATTCAGGTGACCTGGAAAAAGGCAAAAACTGCACTCATTTTTAAACAGGACAGAATGGACAACCCTGAAAACCACTGACCTTCCAGCCTCTCCCTCTGTGCCTGGAAAGACCAAAGAGATCCTACTGGAAGCTCAGCTAAAGCACATGAAGGACAGGGAGGTGATGCAGGACAGCCAGTGGCCTTCCGTGATGGAGTGACTCCATCAGTGGACAAGAAAAGGGCTACAGATGTCATTTATCTGGAATTCTGTAAAGCCTTTGACATGGTTGCCACAACATCCTTCACTCCAAAGTGGAGAGATGGATTCAATGGGCAGACTTTTAGGAGGATAAGGAACTGGCTGATCACATCCAGAGGGTAGTGATCAATGGCTCAGTGCCCTGATAGACATCAGTGACAAGTGGTGTCCCTCAGGGTTGATACTGGGACTAGAGCTATTAAATGCCTCTACCAATGACAGACAGTGGGAGCGAGTGCACCCTCAGCAAGTTTGTGGATGTCACCCAGGTGAGTGGTGCAGCTGGCACACTGGAGAGACATGATGACATCCAGAGGGACCTGGGTAAGCTTGAGAAGTGGGTCCATGTGAAACTTATGTGACTCAACGAGGCCAAGTGCTGGCACTGCACCTGGGTTGGGGCACCTCCCTGTATGAACACAGGCTGGGGATTGGTGTGAGCCTTGCTGGGAAGGACTTGGGCGTCCTGGTGGATGAAAAAAAATGTCAGTGGGGCTGTAAGGGCTCTTAAAGTGACCAGACAAGAAAGCAACCTGGCCAAGAAACTTTAAGAGGACATTCTGGTATTATAAAACAAAACCATGAAAGCACCAGATGGAAAAGCCTGACAGAAAGCAGGAAGTTATGTATGAACCTTTATTTCCGCAGAAGATAGAAATCCATTCATGACATTTATTCTTTAATCAACCTGACAAGGTTCAGACATCACATGCAAACCTCCATAGAGAGGGTAAAACGGAAAACACTGGAGGCAGGCAAACAAAATTCCAAACACCACCTCAAACTATCAGTTTTTAAAAGCAAGGTATAGCATGCTGGATACCTTACTAAATTAGGCAAAAATATTTTGAAAATTAAAAAATTACTTTGAAAATTAAATTCCCTCAAAAAAAATCTTTGAAATGAAATTACAAGAAAAACATCAGCAATTAAAACAGAAAAGGGATTGAGTAAAACAAAGAGGTATCAAAAAGATACTAAACATGCACATAGAAATCAAAGCTAAATTCTGCGATAAATGGTTACAATTCTGTGTTCCCTGAATAAATCTTACCAGTAGGCATAAACATCAAAATAAATATTTTTCACTACTCAAGACTAGGCTTTTATAGAGTCTAGTTAAAAAAAATTATGCTCTTGAACTAGACTATATGATTTGTATTTTAAACGGTGATAAGAATAGTTAATAGTGTAAAGTAACATGATTAGAAAAGACTAAGGCATAAACAACTGGATCTAATCAACGCCCGACCTGTCTTATGATCCCAATATTGTTGGGATATACACTGATAATTGATATTTGTTATGTAATTGATAACCTCTCAGCAATTACCATAAAAAGGAACTACTATGGATATCTGTTTTTACTGTAAGCCCTTCATTCCCTACACCCTCCTTGACAGGGTTTGGGGTCTTTTGGATTAACTCTGTAAAAAGCTTAACAGCATATCAGGAACACTCTTCCCCGGTATTAAAGCTTACAATTTGTACTGCTTTGGCCAAGTAACTAATCTACGCTGATACAATAATTACAGAATGAATCTGTATTACTAAGAAGGCAAGATATTCTTTGGCTTCATTCTGAAGCCAATGTTCTCAAGATTTCATATAACTATGAGTGAAACGCTAATAACAAAATTATATATAAAACTTAAAATTTATTTCCTGTTTCATCTCTCACAGTAATAATAAGCAGTAAGTGTCACAGTCTAAGAATCACCATTTTTAAAATTCAGTAAAACCAATCATAATGGTTAAGCTTAAATCCCTCATACTCATCATGAGCCACTTAAAACACTATCTAGCTGTCCAGAGGTTAAAAAATTTAAAACAAAAAAAATTTAAAACAAACATTGTTCCTTCTTTCACATTACATACTTCTTCAGAGGCAGAGGATGTGTGTTCAGCTTGTGCTGGTCTTGGAACTGAAAGCCCTGCTCCTGGTAAAGACACATTGGACAGACGCCTTTTTCTCACTCCACTGCAGTTGTTTGGAATCTTGAAGGCACATCGTTTATGGTAGTTTAACCCACAACCTGGAAGACGAGTTTTTTTTATTCAAAAAACCTCCCAACATTCAAAATAACAAAATCAGTACTAATATTTTGATAAAGCAGTTTTAAAAAGATGGCCCAGGAAAATGGTAAAGGCAGAAACAGACTGTTGTTTCAAACTCTCTTATTTCAGCCTTCTTAATACGATTCACAGAAACAGCTTTTTCTCCAGGAAACCCAGTTCTAGTAACGAGGTCTAAGACTTGTAAGCAACTGATCTCCCACTACCACGAGGCTTTAATCACTCCCTCACCTTGGAGCACAAGAACCAAGAAGAATTCAGTAAGAAGGCAGCATCAGTACCTGACAGCAGGCTGCAGTGATCCACAGCCAGCTGGAAGAAAGCCGTAAGGAGAGGGATTCCCCTTTGGGAGTCTCTCCAAACTATGTGCTCCTTGTGCAAAGAACACAAGGCTGTAAGCTAGCTGTTTTTTATAAAGTGGGAAACAACAACACTTCTTAAGTCATTAGCTCAAGGTCACGTACAATTTGCATAAATGCCAAGATCAGAACTTGAGTTTTCCAATGCACAAACCCTTCCAGCTATGAAATAATATATTTATCACTTGCTAACATACCAAACACAGTACAGCTTCTTCCTCATCTTATGTACCCAAACACACAAATACACTAAATATCATAGACTTACCTTCACATTTTAATCCTTGTCGTACCAAACCCCAAAGCATCTCTCCGCAGTAGTCACAAAAAGTAGGAGCCTTGTAGGAATGCACATAAAGTGCATGAGGTCGAATCTGGAAATCTTCAACTGTAGCCAAAGCTTTTAAAAAATTGCAGTAAGTTATGGCTCTTGCCACAGGATCAACAAGGATTTATGGAAAGAACATGTTTTAAAAATGGCTAATTTAAAGAATGCTAACAAGCTATTTAGAAATTTTACTGTATGCATTTTACTGTATGCCTTTTAAATACGCATTTAGGAGATCACACAGTTTTCAGTAAACATTTTTATTGAGGAAAAATACCCATTGAACTCTGTAGGCTAACGGCCCCAGCTAATCAACAGTATGAATCACTCTGTTGAAGACCTCACTAAGTTGAAGGCAGGTACAACAAGCTTTGCTAAAAGCAACACTGAACGTTTGAAAGAACAACTTAATTTTCAAGCTGTTTTGTAACCTACAAAATTTTCAAAAAAGACAGTTCTACAAGATAGATTTTTATCTTCTAAAGGACTTCTGCAATAAAAGCTTATTAGACTAAACTTGGTGTATCAAAATAGAACTGTGGATAAAGTTTCTACAGAACATTAAAATATTCTTTTCCTTAAACAAGCATAGATATATTTAAATTATTTTTGTCCTGTTTCTTTGAGGAAAAGAGAAAAAAAAAAGGTATTTTACAGCAATATTACCTTGCCCTGATGGCTATGTAATTTTTTTACCAGATATGTACTAACACTTCCTATTCAGATTGTTATTTTAAAAATTCTACTGAAAGAGATTTACATGCCTTCAAAATGCCTCAGTTTCGGGTGGTCTGTCTGTCTATAAGGAAACTGTCAGAGATTGCCAAGAGATACACAACGAATTTTCCAAATACACTATTCACCAGAAGCAATGAAAAGTTCAAAATAAGATGATCAATTACTGAACATCTTAGACATGCCCTGAAATGCAGCCAAGGATTCAGCCTTACAGCTATCAAATTCATCCTTTATTGACCAAGTTTACAAATCCAAGCTCATGACAGCTAAGAGGTCTCTTCTCCTAATATGTAGTCTCAGTTTGTCACTTTATCCTCAAAGACTTAAAAAACTGCTCAATACTCATCCAGCTTTTATTTGTAGTTTAACTACAGCTGACTTTTGATTGAATTAGACAAAGTATTGATCAAACACATACAATGACAATCAGGGCTGGGATTATTTTGTCCTTGTTATTGGTTAATAACCACCACTCTGAGGACTATATTGTTCAAAAAAACTGTTTTTAAGAACTACAATAACCTGTAAGAGTCTGTTTTTATAGGTATGATTCAGCAATAACAATTATATGAAGCATTATGACAGCATAAGCCATCAATAGCAAAAGCTACAAAACAAAAAGAGATATAAGCAAAAGAAAACCCACAACGGTTAGAAGAACAAATTCTGAACCCTACCTGCATTTCTTCTTAAACAGTAATAAAAAATACAAACTAATATATGATTATAACATTATACTTATGAATTCCCTATTTGTATAATTCAGATATAATAATAAACCTGAAGAAGATTAAAACAGAACAATGAAAAAAATAACAAAACTGAGTACTGAAGCATAAGTGACACTTGGACTTTCTTGGAAACCTCTACCCCAAAGTATATGAGATTTAAATGAAAAAGCTCAAGGCAAGCATGCAAATAATGCTCCATGAAGTCCTATTTTCTTTTAAGCTACTGAATAAAGAGTTGTTCCACTGTTACAATAATACCTACCAGAGAGTACAACCTCAACAAGATCTCCCTCATGTATCTCTTCTGCTGATGTAATTCGTTGCAAAATATTATCCGAGTTCAGGTCATGGCGAAACAGGAGAATTTTGTCATACATGCCAAAGAAACCACACTCTGGGAACTGCAACAGAAATCAAACTCTAAATTAATACATGTTCTTTGATAATCCCATACATCAATGCCATCCATGTTTTTAATAACGGCTACAAAACGTCAAGAGTTGCAAATGTTTCATGGTAAGAAAATTAATCTGCTTATTTTGAGGAAACAAAGCATTTTCTGAAAAATTATAATTTTTTTTTTTTAACCTGAAAAAATAAGTGTTAAGGTTTTTGTTTCTTTGGGCTTTTAATCTTTCAGACCTGCATAGTCAGTCTGGCAACTAAAAGCCAATGCAGGCCTCCAACTTGTATACCAACACTATAACCCTTACTTCATGGGTATTCTAGTCAGGCAGGTATTTAGCTCAAGACACTCCAGCAGCACCTGCCACACTTTTCTTGAGAAGCAAGCCAGTTAAGAGGCTCCATACCATTGTTCTGCAACAGTTTAGATCTACAGATATGAGAAATCCTGAGTAACAAGCTCCAAAGGACGCTGCTTCAGCAGGCAAGTTAGACTCTATCACCTCCAGTGATCCCTTCCAACATTACCTATTTTCTATGATTCTGTGAAAAGAAAAATCTCCACAAGGACAGAAAAAAAATCCATACAGGAAACAGATACACTAAATAACATGCCACTTTTCCATGACACCTCACTGAAAAAAAAAGCTTTCTCATTCTGCATTTTCCCTACTCTTCAAAATACTGTCAAGTATGAGTAAAACTTCTTAAAATTAAAAGCTTAAAAGTAAACAGTTCATGGGGAAAACGAGCAGGAACAGATCCCGGAGAGGTATGAGCAGCACTCAAGCAGCTCTTTTGACCTTTTGGTTTAAACCAGAATTTGAACTTGAGGTGGGAACACACACGCAGAACAAAACGGGAAAAATGTGGGGAAAAAAATATGGAAAAGCTCAGAAGAAACTTTTAATTAATGAGTTAACAAGTTAGTAATTTACATGTTACACAGTCACTAAGTATCTAAACTGCATGAAGCTTGGGTACATTAATTGTTCTTAACTAAAATCATCAATGATGATTTTGTTCTACAAAATCAAAAACATAATAAAGGTATCTTATCCCTCATGCCCATTGTTTGTACACTTTAGTCCAATTCAGAGAAAAAATAATGTCCTGTTTACAACAGCAATTTTATCTGAGATACCAAGCTGCTCTTCTCTGTTTTGGTGTGTACACACTATGTGATTACATGACACATAATACAGCGTCCATGCTCCAGAAAGCATGCTATCTACCTTGGACAGTCATAAAGAGAGGCAGAATTTGTACAATTTAACCCTTGCAAAAGCAAAAGACAGAGCTGACAAATTTATTCTGACACAGATATTTAGTCCACAGCAAGAAACTGATTTACTGGGCCAATGCCAAAGCAGCCGGCTGCCTCCTCTGTCTCTCAACTCACTCCCAGGTTTCCAACGTAAAATAGCAAATAGCCAAGAATATTCTGGAAATTACATTTTCCCAATTGCCCAAAGATCATCTGTAATAGAAAGAAAATATAAAGCTTAAGAATTAGCTGTGCTGCCTCAACATGTGTCTCAGTATCTCCGCAAGTATGTACAGGACTTAAATTTACATTCAGAGCATACAAAGATACAGCCACTAGTAATTCTTCCAAGGGAACTGACATTTTTTCATACCTGAAACCATGTCATAAACTTACTCTATGCTCTAACCCAAAATCCCACTGTGCCTTGATTGACAAAAAAAACAAGATATATTTACATTATTAAAATAAGTGCTCTGAGGTGTTATTCCTCGATACACTGTTAACTTCTGTTAATTGCATTATACTGGTAAAGAACTTAATGCTAACAAAAGGGATATAAAATCAACATTACAACAGTATATATCTCCCCGCAGATACACATGACACTTTTTAATAACACCAATATTAATTTCAGGTGCTAGGAGGGACAACTCTTGACTCAGGGCATTACATGAACTATTGTCTCTTCATATTAAGTTCACAGAAGCACCTATGAACCACAGATTCTAAGGAAGCCTCTAAGATATTTCACAGGCTTGACTCTCCTTCTTTTGATAAAGATATGTCTGTCTTTCTCCTTTACTTTTCACTCTTTAAGACCACAACCCTGTTATGCAGCTGCCAGAACATCCCTACACATAATCCCCCACCTCAGTAACCAGAGGTCACATAATCACCTGCCAAGCAGCACTTAATTGCTATGACAAGATATATTCTGCCTATGCACCATTTACCCATTCTCATGTACAAATCTTGGATTTATTAAAATGTTTTAAACATACTACATTAATTTTATTACTAAAAAGCATTAGCTGACAAAGTTACAGATGATCACTCAAGTCCTCTTTGTGATAGCAAGTGTAATCATTAAAAATGAGACATCACATTCCTTAGAAAGCAGCATCAACATTAACCCAAAGTTTGTAAATATCATTATAGTACTTATAATTAAGATTTTGGGTTTCAAATAAATTCCAGATAAAGACAAAATTAATTTCTATGGAGTAGAAATATTCTGAAAAAAGCAAAATCATCTAATACAAATTGTTAGAACTGTTGATATCAACATCACATTTGGCTCTCCATTAATTAAATTGACCTTTTAAGCTGTGTATCATGAATGCTTCTCATACTGTCATAATATGATTTCCTGCCCTGTTCATCCAAAACAAATATACATACACATTAAAGAAGTGACTGTGAAAGATTGTCTGGTTTTGTAACGCTAACATTTAACCTCCTTAAATGGTGACTCTTCTATTTACAAACTTGAGCTTCATCAGTGACTTCTAGACTAAGACACAGAATCATAAGCTCACAACTAACAAGGAAATAATCTACACTAGTATGAAGTACAAGAGTTCTCTCACTAAACACAGACTCTGTATACAGTTTCTATAGTATGTGACAAAACTGTATCAGGACATATTTTCTAGGCATAGTGCATGCCTGATCTCCATTTCTGAAATAATAATTACAAAAGCTAAAAGGATGAGAAAAGAGATAGCTTGTTCATTAGTATGGAGAGCTCCAGTTGCTAGGAGGTTTTCCTGAATCCATTAAGAGGGACAGGCAGTAGCTGAGGGACCTCACAGTAGTTCCTTTACCTGTCCTGCCTGTGAGGTGCTTGTCTGCACATCCACAAAGCAGCAGAGGGGGCAGCCCACCAACACCCTGCCCAGGACCTCCCAGGCCCTTCACAGGAGCCATCAGGTCACCAAAGGCCCATCTCCACAAGCCAGGGGAGCACAGAGATAGAAGGGCAGGCAGGAACCCGAATTAAGAACTCCAGGGAAAAGATACTCTGGCCTTCACAGGACATCCTCAGACCTTGTTTCCACACATACACTGATCAGGTAAGTCAACGCTACAACACCTTCTGACCCAAGAGGGGTTGCAGTCCAACGGTATGGTACAGATTGTAAGAATGTACAATACTTATGGAATGTTTACAGAAGGAAACAAAGGCAAGGAAAGAAGTGATTCAGGGAGGAATAAACGTGGGAAAAAAATGAGGGATAAGAAGATAAAAGAGGCTGGTCACCTGTAAACAGGGGTTGGTCAGAACAATTGTCTGATCATGCCCTGTGCATCAGCAGCACCACCCATTGTCTATTATCATTAAATTCAATTTCCAGCTATTTTCCTGAATGATTTTCTCTCATTCTGAGCCCATGTGTGTGTACAGGAGGGTCCGACTGCCAGCAGAGCAAGACGACCCTGTAATGTCAGTGACTGGAAAGGTCAGAGCAAGTGAAATCAAGAGCTCAAATATCCAGGTATCAGCAACTGGAAATACCAAGATCCAGCAACTGCTACTGGGCAGAGAGTGCTTGAAGACGGCTGCTGGAGACACCCACTTTCTTTGTTGTTCTTTTTTTACTGGTGGGTGAGTATGCATCTGTAAAGCTCTTTCCCCAGTACCAGACCTCCATCCTGAACCACCAGAGATTGACACAGCATGGGACCGCTGGTGCTGTTTGTGTTCACAAAGTGCTCACAGACAGACATGCTGTTGATCTGTTTGGATCTGTGTGTATACATGTACATGTTGCACACCTGTAGCCAAATGCTAGTGTCTATCAGGTATATGTGGTCAGTCTTGCTGTCCATGGCTGCACATAGGGACAGAGCTGCAACAGTCTCCAAATTCAATCATACCTAATAAAATTTTTCAAGTTAGATGAACTAATCCTGCTCTTACCTTGCATACTTCCCCCTAACCCTCACCAAAAAAACATTTCCCAGTTGCAAAAGAACAGATCCTACCGGGAAGGTGCCTGCCTCCCGACTCCTTTCCACACACTCTGGCTCAGATTCCTCTCCTCTGCCCCAACTCCAGCCCTGTGCACCCAAGCCATAGAAGCGCTGGCTGGCTGCCCTCCCCACGGACAGCTCTGATGAGCTGCAGGTGGCCCAGCACAGCCCTGTCTAAGGCACTTGACTGGGCCTCGATGCAGGGAGCAACAGCTCCAACCAAGCAGCTTGGCTCCTTACAGGCATGCGGCGCCCTGCTCTCCCTTCCGCTCCCCAGTCCATTCGGGAATACAGCATTCCTTGCTAGCACCTTGGCCAGAAGGCTATGTGCAGACTGCTGGCCAAGAATAACCTCATCGATTAACAGGGGGTTTATTTCAAGTGGTATCTTTTAACAGAATTTTTACGCAAAGCTTAAACTATGTTCAATAGTTGAACTATATTCAAGTCGTACACTACCAAATTCTTCTCTCGTACTGCAGCAAAGTACAGCTTTTATAGCTCTCCTTATGTTCAGTTACATGAAGCTGTTAAGGAAGAACATTATCCAGTTTCTTTGAAGTGTTAAGAGCTCATAATGTAAACTTGAAAACAAAATTCAAAGCAGAATTTTTTTAAGCCTGTTTTATCTTACAGGATTATACAGCTATTACTTTCTTGCATAAAAGCCTAATGTATCTGCACAGTTACTCAGAACATATAAACTGCTAATCCCAGTATTACTAAGTTTCCTAAAAGCAAAAACATGACTGTTCCCCGTTTTAACAGTTCCAAAAGAGCATCTAGTGACAGGAAATCACTTGTGGGAAGTCTGTGTATGCACTAGACTATGCCAAAATTAATCTCTGGTACACCAGTATCACCAATTTATATCAAGAATATATGTAATTCTTAATATTTGGGTGGTACTAGCACAAATAATACAACTAGTGCATGACTGCAGTTACACTGAGGAAAAATCATTGGTGTTATCTAGCATGTTCATACCGTAAGTATTACGCATATCTAGCTTTAGTTGAGAGTGAATTACATTGTCTTTTTTATCCACAAGAACTCAACCAACATACAGCAGTCAGTATTGCTGAGTAAAACACAACTGAGGCTTCTTTCTATCTTGGCAGTAACTGAAAAAATCCCTTTACTTCAAGTTCCAGGAGTTACTTTACAAAGTTCTGGACTAGTCGCCAAAAATTCACACTAGGGAAAAGTGTAGGCGGATATTGTTTCAAGGTCCAATATCTCATGACCCGTCATAACTCAAAACAAATGCTTCAAACCACTGAAAGTTAATTCCAAAGTCTAATGGTCCAAAACACCACTGGAAAGTCTCTTCCTTCACTGAAGTCATCCATTCTATTATCCTGCATCCCTACCCAGCTATTCACTCCCACTCTTTAGAATCATGTGCCAAATCACATTATCACACAGACAATGAGCTTCAAACATGTTGCAGAAGATCCTTCCCTCACCAGATGCCTCAGAAAAGACATACTTGGACTACTGCTTGGCTAGGTTTTCCAGCATACAAACCTATTACCGTGCTGGAAATGCTTATCTGCCCCCCATGTAACACCTTTGTACACCCAGTAGCTCCCCTGCTCCCACCTTCTCGCAAGTGTACTTGCTTCTCATGCCTCAACTCTTGATAAGTCTCTGCATTGCTTAGCTCATATGAAGAAAATAGTTGACAAGTCAAGAAGGCAGAGCAATAGGAGGAAAATAGATCTGAGCACATCTGAACAGAAGAGATGATTTGCATTCATTTTAGAGCCTTTCAAAAACAAACACCATGAACTATTACAAGATTAACCTGGAGAAAAATCCAAAACACTGTTTGCAGTATTGTTATTTATTTACTAGACTCAAGTTGTTACTGCAAGAGTTGTAGAGATCCATTTATAATATATATATTATTGATCAATATATATATTGATTGCAATATGATCCTTCTAATGCAATGAGAATACGAGAGCAGAATCTAATCAGCAAGACATAAGAAATGCCCCTTTGACTTTGCTAGATGGTGACTTTGGGTGGGTTCAGTAAAAAAAACTGTTCTAGAAAAACTAGGTGGGAAGAGTAGGAAACAGATTGCCCAGGTGAAGTAACAACAAAAAAGTATCAACTCAAAAAGAATGCAAGGATCATGAGAATTTCTGAGAAACATTCTAAGGTATGGGAGAAATTGGTCTGTTTCAGAGCAAAATATAACAGAGCCATCAGAGGAAATATATACAGAGAAGGAAAATGCTGAGTATGACTGAAAGTGAAAATGATGGACAGGTCTGTGGACCAAAAAAGAGAGAATATTTGCAGGAATATGAAAGTAAAGATTCATAAGTTTAATGAAAAAGTTACAACAGATCTTGCAGGTTCTGATACTACACAAGTAATAGCACAAGTAGTACTATGGTAATCAAATGTTTTTCATTTATAGCTCTAATCAGAATAAAATTAGGTAAGCTACTATACAGCATTTAGAGCATGCTGTCCAACATAATTCTCAGTCTGCAGGCAGTGGAATATCACCACATGCAAGTTTCTAGTTTTAAGTCAGTAATCCCTTTGTTCTACTTCATGTGAGGAAAGAAGAAACAGTATTCCAACACAGAACAGGATTAAGAACTTGCCTCTGTAATATCTGATCATTGTGCAAGGACACACAGTGTCTACCTGCTACAAGTTTTTCTGCTTCTAAACACTGTCCCTCTGTCCCAGCAGCCGTATGTGTCCAGCTTAGGTTCCTCTTCAGATTGCCCCTGAGACCTGTCTGATACTTTAATACACAGCAACCTACATAAGACATGAACAGAGAAGACCATGAACATACTAGTGACCACAACCAAGAATTGTTTTGAAGCATCTCTATAAAGTCTAAAGTTTGGATTTTCTGAGGACTTCTATTAACCATGCCAGTATACAACAACCCCAACACAGCGCCCCACAAACTTAACTTTGAACTTGAAAAAAATTGGAGAAAAAAGAAAAAACATCTCCTGATGTTTAGAACATCTGTAATAAGATGTAAGAGACACACCAAATATTTGCATTACTCATCCCACTCTCCTTGCAGACACATGCCTCCTTAGTTTCAGTTCTGCTGATGCTGCTTCAAGCTCCCAAGTAAGTGAAGGAGGACTCCTCAGTTTTATTTTGTTCCAGATTACACAGAGGAATACAAGCCTGAAATGTGACTGTGAAGTAAGGAAATGTCCATGTAACCCTAGTAAAGATAACACTCAAACAAGAAGAAAAGTTATCAATTATTATTCCAAGTAAAATAAAGGTATTTCTCCTTATTCATTAAAGAAATGCGGAATATCAGAGGAAAGGGAAAATTTAACACTGATGAATCTCAACACCATACTCAGCAGCTTCAAAGCTTTTTACTGGGAAAAAAAAAAGCAACCATTCACATGACTACCGACAAGAGCACAGTTTGCAATTTTCACATTAGGTATATACTAACCCTAGAACATTAAACCGTCTTCCAACAGTCACCAGATCGAAGAGAAAAAAAGCCAAGGCAGGACATATTGCTGTCAGAGAGTACAGGGAGAATATTGCCACTCGTGCACTAGCTGCAAAACTACTTATGAAAGATGAATCCACCACACATGAGGTTGTTTCCTGATCAGTTTGCTGCCTGCAGCATGTTTTCACTGAGCAGTCATTTTCTGGTAGCATCAGCTGCAGAAGAGCAGAAACTGCAGCGAAGCCAGACAAAAAGGAAAACTGATCATGAAATCCTCATCAGTTTTGCAGTAGATTAGGCTTAGCACATAAAAAGTTTGAGCTATAACAAGATCTCAGGTTAAACTTTTAGCTGAGCCTGCCAAAAAAACAGAAAGGAAAAAAGAAAAGTGTGAATGTACTTGTTTTCATCTTTCTTTAAGACAGAAGACAGGAAATATGCAGCTGTAAAGAGAAGGAGCTGATATGGAAAGAAAAAGCAGCCCCTAAAATGGCTGCAAAAAGGTACACCTAACATGCACAGTACATGAAAAAAAAAGTTCACCCAAATGACTCATCTCTTCAGAAAGGAGCTAACATGCTGAATTATATTTTGGAAACTATTATGAAACTGACTTGTTTGACAACTAGTTCATAAAAATATGAAAGATGCAGTAAGTTATGAGATGGGAGAAAAAGATACACAAGCATATGCAAATAATATATAATGTGCTTACGTTTTTTCAGGCTATAGGGTGAAGAAGAATTATATAATAAAACAAATTGACAATAAATATCATAATTATCACAACACTGAAAGACATGGAGATAATTCCCTCACCTTCATGGAAAATAGCAATTATTTCTTATTTTATGAAATAGTGTTAACTTCTTTTCAGGCTGCTTCCTGGGATGTAACCTTCCTAACCTAAAGATAAAACTTGGATGCGAAGCCAGCATTATCAGTGTTACCTCCTTCCTAGAGAGACAGAATTTGCAACAGGGTAGCCAAGACACAAGGGAAAAGTGTGCTAAGATTCTTTAATTTCTTGGTCAACCCTCCCCTAACAGAAATTATAATGATATTTAAGAATAACACATATATTTGGCATACAGAAAAACAATACTAGGACATTATTAGCTGTTTGGTGGGATCTGTAATTATTAACTAGAAACAAAAAGAACAGCTAGTATCAAGTCTGGCCTGCAACGCATATCTGTAGACACAACTGGTCCTGTCACTGTGGCCGGTTATACAAGTCCAAGAATATTCCTCAACAGTAGTAAGCATAAACTAGTAAGCTATCAGTGACAATTGCTGAAAGGAAAAAACTGTCCATATTGTGAAAAAGTCATTATTGCAGAAAATTCAGAGCTACATCTTCTTTGATTAGATTTCACAAGCAAGAAAGCAAGAGGATGGTTTACTCCACTTGAATTAAAAGCTTTTCCCTTGAGAGTTACCAAAATTTCTTTCTGTGTAATTGCAAATACCTCATACAGATCTTTGTCACTGTACCAAACTCTTGGCATACGTCACCTGCTATTACTAAAAAACCTGTTAGCAAACAACTGTTGCCATCAGCAGAACATGGTAGCATTATACCATACCTTCTGGTAAACTATTGAGCACACAAGGTCCTTAACAGCAGAGAGGGACAGGTCCTGAGCTTCAATGGTGACAGTCTCTCGAGTGAGACCAATCTGCAGAAGGAAGGAGATCCCATGCATAGAGCTTCGGGAGTTGGTGAGGCTCTGGGTACTGAAACTGCCATTGGAGAGTCGACTGGACAGCCCCGACTGGGGACTTGAAGACAAAGTTGGGGTCTGTGGTGCAGCAGCATGACACGTAGGTGGGGAAAACTTCTGAAAGGATGGGGGAGAAGAGTCGTTTGCTGACATCTGACTTGCTTTGCTCTGCCGAGATCTCCCTAGTAGTCAAACTCTTAAGCAAAATACGTTATCAGTTCTTGGTTTGAAAGTTTCCCTTTCTTAGTTCAGTAAAATGCTCCTGACCAGTAAAACTTAAATTTCCCTTTCATTCGGTGCAAGCCAAAAAGTAAAATAATTACAGCTGCAAGTTACTTTAAATTAAAGGTTCTTTTTCTGCAGTTACAATCAGCTGATCAAAAGCAGATTGCCTGTCCTTTAGCACCACATCCAGACACAGAGGCTTACATAAAGGCCTCGCAGAAACACATCAGCTCTGCTGTTTTATACTTGTCCTTCATTTTTATTAAAAAAGCTGGAGAAACAGATGGAAATAGAAGTTGATAATTCATTAAAAGTATCCTTGTTCACCTAATTACACAGATCATATCTTAAATGAAGACTCATCTTCATGCAGATAGGGTTTTGCAGTGAAAAAAAAAGTGTATCCTTGAGCAACAACAGAAGTCCACGTATGTGATGAATCTATTCCTCGTTCAGAAAGTCTTCTCTGAATTCACAGGACACAGTGAACTTGAAGATCAATGAAGATATCCAATATCATTTTTATAAAATATTTTAGCTCATGAAATGGAAGAGCAGAATGTCTGAAGACACAATCACATTAAATGTAATCTCTAGCATTGCCCAGATAATCTCCAGCATTTTGAAACGTTGTACTCTGCCTGTATGGGAAAAGATAAAGTTGTTATTTCACATGAAATGCATGAAGTCACATACCCATGTCATAACCACTCTACTTTTACACAGCAGGATACCAGCTCCTTTTATTCAAGTGTGTTGCATTGGAAGCATTTCGTACTTTTGAGTTAAGTTTAACTGTTTTCCCCCTGTATGATACATAAGAAAAATCAGATCTCGCACTGACCAATATATTACCGCAACTTCTAATTAACGATAGTTTAGCAGAGCAAAGCACTTAGCACTTACAAGGAAAACAACAAAAAAAGGTAGGGGGAGGAAGCAGTAGAACACTGCTCTGTACATCAATATTGAGAAGCTGGTGGGTAGGGAAGGGAATTCATTAAATGCACAGAAATGTCAAAAAAAAAATACAAGACAGAAACTCAAACTCTATGCAGCAGCATGTACTCGGTATCATTTTAATACTGTTATTCAAGAAAACTGAAGAATGACTTGCACAAACTCCAACTATAGGAAGATATGCAGAGCATACAACTGAGCATTTTTTTTGAAAAAAATTAAATCATTTAATAATACTCACACATCTGATTAGAAAAGCAAGTCTGCTACAACCTTTGAAAATAAGTAATTTCATGAGCATGGGCTTGAGATACTTGTTACAAGATGCTATGCTACCTGATTAAATATTTCAAGCATTTCATGAGCATCTGAAATGTTTGAAAATAATAATTTCAAGATTCCCCATGCAACAACTTCCACAGGAAAAGTTTTCCATGGACACAAAAGTAGTCTAAATACTACATACTGCTAACAGTTTTTAAGGAGCATTGATCCATACAGGATACCAAAATCAGTAGGTTCATGTATTTTTTCTTACTCTTACATAAAAAAAAAAAAAATCAGAAAGTGTTACTCTTGCAGTGAAATTCCAGAAGAGAAATGCCACATCTTATTGCACACAGTAGAAGCTGTCCTTCCCAGAAATAAGGCTGAGAATTGCTAAAACAGCCCATTTAATACACTATGCACTCCTGGTATTTACCAGTGTAATAGCTTAAAACCCCACTGCCACTGCATTCTGAAAGCTAGATAAGGAAAGAGAGGTACACAATTTGCAATACTGGAGGGAAAATAAGCTCTTGGCACTATGATAAAAATTCCTAACAGGGCTCTGGAAGAGAGAACAGATTGATACTTCTAGATTTTCAGCACAGGTATCTAGAAACTCTTCAAATACAGAAGACTTGTTGGACATTTAGCAAGGACACCTGAAAAGAAAGCTCTGCCTTAAAGAACACTCTAAACACGATATAGATGAAATTAATAAATAGGAAAAGTAAGCAACAGCAATATTTAAGGACCTTTCTCAAGAAAGCACCTTCACAGTGCCTTCAAGTTTGCTTGAAGATGACTTGTTCTTATTTTCTACAGACTGCTCTCCTCACCCTCACCTTTCACAGATACCAGAGACAGCAAATACGAAGCCTTAGGGGTAGATTTGAATTACAAAAAAACCCCAACATAATAGAAAACAGAAAAGCCTTATGATGTGAAAGAATTAATGAGTCTGTCAGGCAAGTTTAATTTAGACAGTGAAAATACCCTGTGAAAGCTCACCTACAACTGCCTAATTAGAACGTTAATTATATTTATCAAAAGCACGATGCATTTGCATTGACAAAGCCTTTTGATACCATGTGTATTTGCATACAAGTCTTTGAAGAACTTTATTTTTGTTACTCGGTAGGAAAGAATGAATCTTTCTATAGGAGGAAAACCATAGAAACTGCTCCGTTTGCAGTGAGTATAGAGTTCTTCCAAACATCAAATCAAATAAGTGTATGCTGAAACTGACATGCAGTCTACAGTTTTGCGTTTTTATTTATGCAAAGCAAAACCTACACCTCAAAAAGCAGAGAGGAACAGGGGCTATGAAGGAGTCCCTCCACCTCCTTCCCCTGCTGCCTGCTCGCAGCCTGCGCTCGCCCAGGAGCGCTGTCCCTCCCGTTCCTGCTGCCCCCAAACCAAGCGTCTCTCGGGCAGCTTCTCCAGCCCCTGGCCCTTCACCCGCCCTTCCGTCCCGCTGCGAGGCGAGCCGCGGACGTCGAGCCCCGCTCCAGGCGGCCCCACTCGCAGTTCTTACCCCCGCATGGGCCGTTCCCACCGGGAAGGACGGCAGCTCCGCGCCACGGATGCCGGGCGGGACCGGCGGGACGCGTCCTGCCTGCCGCGGGTCACGCAGCCCCGTCCGGGCTGGCGCTGCCACCCGCCCGTCCCTCCCAGGTTTAAATCCCCGCTGCGCGACCCGCCCCCGCGGCACCATCTCCGGAGATGATGTGGCCTCGGCCCGTCACCCCCACCCCGGGG